CCCAGCAGCAGCAACAGCCCCCCCTGGTAGACGTTCGCATGATCGACTTTGCCCACTCCACCTTCAAAGGTTTCCGTGGAGACACAGCAGTCCACGATGGGCCCGACCGAGGCTACGTGCTGGGCCTGGAGAGTCTGATCCAGATCCTCGAGGGTCTGCAGGCGGAAAGCCACCAGTGAACACTCGAGTCTAACTATGGTAGTTGAAGTATTCCCCCCCCACACACACACACACACACATTCCCTCCCTTTGCAGTGTTGTCATAGCAACACCTGTCCTCAAGCAAAACAGCCAGGAGGGGGGAGAGTGAGCAAGTAGACAAACTGTTGCGGCTGAACACACATTCGTCGACACTCAAGCCTGTGAAAGCAGACGTTACTCCTCCCAAGTGATGCTGTTCTGTATTTGAAATGAGAAATCCCTAGTTGAGAATTTTCCACCTATGGAGAAAGCATCCGAAACGCCTATGTAGAAGGGAATGTCAGAATGAAAAGTTTCGCCCCTGACTCAGAGGCAAGACCCGGGTGGCTGGGTTCTGCGCACGCTAGCATTCTGTATCTCCCGTTATGTCTCTGTTGCGACATTTTGCTGCGTTGAAAGGAGCAGAAAATTTTCTGCATGTTTTGCTGAAACTGTACCGGCCTGGCAATTTTCCGCCTTCGGGGTTAGTAGAGGATCTGTGTAAGCGGGAAGCTAATGTAAAGTCTGACAACCAACACATATTTCCCGGTAGTTGTAGTTAAGAGAGGCAGGACAGCTGTTAATTTTTGGGTGCGGATACATTTGTGATCTTCGGTTGCGAGTCTGCCATTTGTGTGTGAAAAAGGCAACCGACTGGTAGATTCCCAGATTTCCCCTCTTTGGCGGTCGTACCAGAGGTGAAAGGGCAGCTATGTGAGAACGAGTAGCAGAAAAGCCGCGACAGGGAGGTGAAATTTTATACCCCACACGTCTCCTGCTGGGGATGATGTCATCTAATCATCTGATTATGGGTTTGAATGGCGGCCATTTTGCAGGATCATTTACACAGTCCCACTCGGACGGGAAATGCAGAAATGGAATAAGGGGAGTCACAAATTTACTGTCTTTCAAAGTCCTACCCAAAGGTAGAGCAGCCAATGTGTGCGGGATGCCATGTCGCGGCAATATCTCACCTCGGCTGAATTCCGTGTGAAAGCCAGAGGCGGATACGGTGTTGAATCTTTTGTTGCCACCCCATCCTTCCGTCTCAAAACATTGCAGGTGGCATCTTTTAAAGCAATAGCTTTTTTTTTTTTTTTTTGTCTTCTTGCCTTTTCATCAGCAGGGAGGGAGGGCAACATGGCCCCCCGGGGGCAACAATACGCAGGTGCACCCAAGGAGTCAACGTCACGAGTAATTTCTGTGTTTTGTGCTCGAGTTCAAGGATGAATAATGTCACTAGTTTGTGTCATTGAGAAACATGATGCGAATGATTCTTCCTCTCGTCACCTTTTCCATTCTGCATACACTTTAAGTGCACTAGTGTAGTGTTCCCAACTGCTGGATGTCATTTTATTTCCAGTGCAGCGATTCACCTTCCCTGTTTCCTCGTTTTGCGAAACTCTTTAAAATGCCACCTAAATATGTCGTGTTATTGCTGACTGATGTTACAGTCCCCCCAGCCACATAAGCCCCGCTCGAAACGATGCACTTCCTAGTCCCTTGACATCACCACGCACTCGTCTCCGGGACCAATCAGATATGAGCATTTGAGGGCATTCAAGCACTTGGTGCCCCCCCTAAAAAAAAGAGTGGGGGGGGGCAAAAATGTTATTTTGGGGGGGGGGTTATTGAGGCGATAATTTATTTTTTTATTCGAGCTTTTACCTGCGTGATTGAATTGTCTTTTATGTGTCTCTCCCAAAGTGTAAAAAAAATATATATCGAGATAATATGCTCACAGAGTGGCGTTTCAGGGGATTATATAGCTGTTATTTTATGAGTACTCTTGACACTCCATCCGAACACCAACTGTGTGTGTGTGTGTGTGTGTGTGTGTGTGTGTGTGTGTGAGTGTGAGTGTGTTTTGTAGTCTTGCATCTTCTTTGTCCTATGGGGGTGGGCAACCTGTGGCCCACTGCAGCATTTGATGCACATAAAAAAGTACATATGTTTATTTTGGCCCTCAGAGGACTTTTTGAAAGGAACAAGGTTCCCCAATCCTGCTTTCAGTCGTCGCATGCACAGTCTGACATACTAGACCCCCTCGATAAACCACCACACACACACACACACACACACACACACACACGTTATGAGTCATGACTATTGCTTGCATTTATTTTCTACAGCCGTCACAAACCCGAACAGTTTGGTAGAACAGTGACAGTGAGATTAAAATTTAACAGATGGTTTGGTGTCCCCCTTTTTTTGTTTTTATTTGTTTGTTTGGTTTTTTTTGCAGGGGGGGGAATAGTAAAAAGCCATGTCTATTACAATGTAAATGGTGTGTCATATATATAAAATATGTGTACTTTTTTCCCCAACGAGTCAGTTTGAGGAAAAAATGTTTTTGTCATTACTTCGCGTGGTGATATATTGACAACAGACTTAAGTAATGGAAAGCTGTCACAGTGGCATTTAATTTAAGGTATCACGTGCTTTATTGTAAGTCGATGTTCATCTCTGCTCCGGCTCAAATTTGACACACACACCCAAAAAAATCAATTTTCTTGTCGGTGTACACCTACTTTTGATGCAAATAATAATAATAACCCTGTTGCCAAGTTTGACACAAAATTACATATTTTGGTCAGTATGTATATGAGGATTTACTGACACAATAGTTACAGTTGTGGAAAGCCCTCATTATCACCTTCTATTTGGTGCAAATGGAATTTCGACCTGTTGACATTCAAATATGCCACAAACAAGAAATTCTGTGTTGATTGATACCCAACAGGAGATATCTCGAAAGCCCTAATCCAGGCATTTAAATAGACGGGTGACTGCGTGTGGTTTGCAGCAAATGTCTGAATCACGTGTGTTTGTTGTCCAGTTGGCCGTGCAGGTCGTACTCGCGGTAGAGGATGTAGTCCTTGAGTGGCGGCGGCAGCGGCAGGAAGCTCATGAAGACTGGCGAGCGCAGACGCAGGCGGCCCAGGCAGATGCGGATGCGCAGGCGGCACAGATGCTGCAGGCAGCGGGCGTTCTCTGGGGGAAGAGCACACGCTTGAGCACTTTGTTAGGTGCACCTGCACACTCTTACCACACACAATTATGCACAAAAACGAGCTTTTTTTTCCCCCTTTTCTACCCTGTGCATCCTAAAAATGAGCCTCATTGCAATGGCTTTGATGAAGACGTCATGACGCCGCGCGTGTCAATGTTGTAGTTCACCTTGCAGCCTGCAGATGTCGCCCCACTGCTGCTGCTCCATCACAGCCGCCTTCAGTTTGCTGCACAGGGTCACGTGATCCACGTAGTCCAGCAGAATCCGCACCAAGTGACCAGACAGATGCTTCAGCCACGACACTGTGATCACCTCGCAGAACTGGCGTGAGTGAGCGCATGAGTGTGTGTGTGTGTGTGTGTGTGTGTGTGTGTGTGTGTGTGTGTGTGTGTGTGAGTGTGTCTGATAGCGTGCGACAGTGCAAGGGGATGAATTTACAAGTGTGAGCCTGTTACTTGGTGATGTCAACCTACCATGGTGTCTTTGATGACAGTGTTGCTCCAGCCCTCGTAGTCCTCGGGGACGTGTGACCTGCTGCCATAGGGACAGTCGAAGCAACGCTCCACTTGGTAACCATAGTTACACAGCATCCTCACCACCACCTGGCACGCACACGCCCGTCAGGTTCGTCCCGGCAACGCCGCCGACCAAGTAAAGACGCGAGGAGTCGAACCTCGTCGTTGAGCGCGTACTGCAGGGCCGAGGGGAAGTGCGTGGTGTTGACTCTGGAGTAAAAGTTGACGTTGGCGCCGTACCGCAGCAACGTTTTGATCAACTCGTAGTTGCCAAGACGTAGAGCCACCTAAAAAGACAAGCAACGCAATTGCAATTGATTCCCCCCTGGCCGCCCATAGGAAAAGACGTTTTTTGCTCATCGGCTTATCAAATGAGGAGATACTGACAATATAATTGTAAATCTGTAAAGCTCTCATCATGGCCTTTGGTTTGAGGTATCACTTTACTGCAAACCAATTTGAGGCCCCTGTTACTTGTCATCAATGACACAAAAAACATTTGTGGGGTCATGACTTCATCACGTGAGTGAAGAGCCACCAAAAAATAAATAAAATCAGATTCGGAAAGCTCTCATCATGGCTTTTAATTTGAAAATAATAATAATAACCCTGTTGCCAAGTTTGACACAAAATTACATATTTTGGTCAGTATGTATATGAGGATTTACTGCCA